TTACTTGCCGCTGCTACACTTCAGAACGCGCTCGACCGTTATCGTAAATAAACACCAGTCGAAAACGCGAAAAATGCATAATTGTGCCATTATAAACTGCAAAAGTACCATAACTGTGGGTAAACGGGTAAACAGGGACGTTTCCTTCCACGGGCAAGTGATTTTGTAATCAGAAGATGCTTAATTTATATTAAAAACAATTTTTTGGTTTTGTATGAATTTCGAGAAAACAAATATGCAACCGAGTCTATGCCTCGTGACTTGTAAACACATTGCGGCTTTTACTTTTTTTTTTTTTTTTTTAAAATGTTATTTATTACCATTTAAAAACAAAACAGTTAACAAAATAGGAATTAGTCACATTTTAAACCACTAAGGTTTGTGTTAATGCAATCTAACTTAAATAACAATATCGGTACATTAATTACTTGGTGCGATATATTTGTGATCCTTTGTGAATACGCCATGAAAATCGAAAGTGCGTTTACTTTTGTATAATGCATGGCCAAATTTAATATTTAGTGATGTATACGTTAGGCAACACTGTTCTCGATTCTAATCATTCTGAAAACAAAGGGAGGAAAATTATTATGACCTTAGCAATATTATAAAAATATTCTATATGTCTCTTGTTATTTTTGCAACATGTTGCCTCGGATGTCCGAATATAGTGAGCAAATAATTACATTCATCGCCGGATATGTAATACGAGTAATACAAAAAAATATATAATGCAAAGAATTAACAGTGCGCTGTCTTTACAAACACTTGGAGTTGGTCATACATATGAGCTCGTTGCTTTCGAGAACGAAGGTGGTCTAGTTTATCCCACTTAAGATGCTATCCAAATATGCAGAGTAGCAGAGTTAGAAATCTGAGAAATAATAAAGAAATCTCAAAAATTTGACATGAGGCCGTCATTAAGTCAACCTCTTCTGATTAATAGGATTTTACCATATTTTGTCAGCAGTAACATTTTCATTTGTCTTGCCATTCATCAATTTGATCAATTACCAAAAGAAAACAATCTAGTAAAATTAATTAAGGCAGTCACAAGTTCATATATTGACATGTGTTTTCATTATTTAAGTTAATCGTTAAGTTTCTCTGTTACGAAACGATGTTATATAATAAGTTCATTTTATTGGAAGGACATTTGGAAGGAATTTTAATACTTGAAGTTGATTAAAAATTAAAGCCTTAACTTTTTTTAAGTAATCAATATTTTTAAAATACAAGTAAAATAAAGGACAAAAGTATCTATACTTATATTATAACTACTTACAAGTAGTTATAATATAATCATATCAACAAATACTTGAACAAAGATGATTCTATTTAGAATCGATTAATTGAATGGAACTAAACTACACTAAGCCGAATCGCGAAAAGGCTAGATGAAGAGCAATCCAAAGAACAAGCAGGTTTCAGGTCGGGCTTCTCCACCTTAGACCATATGCATGCCATCAAACAAGTTATTGCGTATTCACAAGAATATGGGTACCCACTATACATAGGGTTCATAGATTACAATAAAGCTTTCGATTCTATAAATCACAATCACATATGGATAGCTAGACAGAGGCAGGGTATTGAAAAGAAATACATAAGGATCATAAAGAACATATACTCTAACAGCACAGCATGGTTAAATTAGAATCTCTGGGAAAACCATTTCAGCTACAGAAAGGAGCCCGACAAGGTGACCCACTCTTGCCAAACCTCTTCTCAGCGGTTCTTGAGAATAGCTTCAGAAACCTCGAATGGAATGATAGAGGCATAAACATAAACAGTGAAAGACTGAAAAATCTAAGGTTTACTGACGATTTAGTCATATTTTCCCACAATCCCTTGTCCCTACAATACATGACCCAAGGCATTGTAACTAAAAGCAAAGAAGTGGGTTTAACCATTAATAAAGCAAAAACCAAAGTAATGACTAACAGATCTGAAAAACCTCTAACTGTAGATGGAGAATACATTGAATATGTAGGGTATGTATATAAAGTGGACCAGAAAGGTAACAGAATGGCTACCAAGAGAAAATGCCAAGAGGAAAAGAGGTTGTGCCTTTAAAAGATGGTCTGACGACTTTAAAAAAATAGCTGGACCTCTATGGACTAGGCTAACAAGGGACAGAGCCAGATGGATAGAGCTGGGGGAGACCTATGCGTCTTCAGGATGAGCTGATGTTATAGTTTAAGTAATTTATGTATATAATTGTCAATATAATTGAATGTCAGTATAGTATAAATTAATTTGAAAAATAATAATAATAAATTGAATGGAATGAAATTATGTGTATTCTGTTCAATCAATCGATTTAGGCAAGCAGAAGGAGGTTTCCATCACTGAATTGTTCTTGTGATGTCATAGTGGGTACAAGAAATGTGGCACGCTTGGTTTTCATACAAATTGCTGTACTTGCGGCATCTATCTAGACATATGTCTGTGAGTTAGACATACAGACAGATGCATGGATAGAGAGATAAATGATTATGGAACCCTTACATTTGTAACACCACAGTTCCACTTGGTTATGATTTTATTTAAGCATGAAAGTAATAGTATAACATTGTCTTTGTGTTAATTTTTTGTTAAACATTTAACAATTGCATGCTAGAAAATCTGTAATAAGCAATTCAATAGAGTTCAAATAATACAAAGTAGCATATTCAGTGCTAGGTTAATGATGAGAGAAGTGTGGTGTGTTTTAGGTGCTATCCTCAATAGAATATTTACTACACATTGCTTAATTTAAAATTTGTTCTCAGCACAATTATAAAAATGGGAAATTTCATACAGATGAAATCAGAACAAAATATCATAATGAGAAGTATCTTTACAAGCCTCACAATAAAACTAGTTAAAAGAGAACAATAGAAAGTTAATATCTGCTAATAGTAAACCTTGTAGTGTACTCAATCTTGGCTAGAAATCTTATAATGACTAGAAATGTAATTCAATTTGTTAACACTTGACTTTCAAGGTTGGGTTCACTAATTACAGACAATAGGTATTACAGTTTGATTTCTTTCAATTTACTTGAGAACATTCTAAATTACTAGCACCATATTAATAATTTCTAATCTCATCTCACACCCCAATTTTTCTATATTATAATATGTAAACAATACAGTTAAGTTTTCTATGGTAGGTGTCACAATAACAATAAAATATCCTACACTACATTCAACTTATTATTAATTAGCATAGTAAGTGACTGGTTCTAATGAGCAAGGGTATGAGAATACATTGTTTTAAATCAATCGTCCATCGCCTGCAATGCCTCATTGTGATGTCATTTTAAACACCACACGTTAGTCAGTCTCCTCTGTAAACATGAATACAACACTTCCTTGTGCAAATGGCAGACTACAAGATGTTGTAGGCATTGAAGTGAAATTCTTTTAACCTCTAATTCCTAACTAGTTAAAAATCAACTGAATTGCACAGATATGTAAAAGGAAATTGGTACCTTCTGCTCTTCCAGAAACTTAGTAGATAGTTGGTAGGCAAGCGCTGAGAACATCACTGTCTCTACACAGTCTCCTGAGCGCAGGAGGTGAGAGAGAGCCCGGTCGGTCCCATAGCACTGCAGAGACCCAGTCACTAGCAGAACCAGCAACAGTTAAAGTTTGCAGGCACTTGAATAGCAGCCAGCGGAATGTGACAACAGTTTAGTGAGCACATTAATGAGCGTTATTCGTAGAAATACGATCACAGATACGCGTACGTCACGTTCCTGCTGCCGCCCTTCGAAGACGATCGCGATCGATCTAACTGCACGGGGCCGCGTCGCTGCGGCCAACTCAGCACTACTCCGCCACAACTAGGTCGGGAAAAGTGCACTCGCACGTGAGAACCGCAGGACAATGCGCGAGAAACTGTGGGAACAGCCGTAGAGCGAGAGGCGTTGCCATTATAGTAAACAATCACGTCATTGACCCTAAAATATGGTTCGCCGCACAAACATCGCGCCAATAAAAACTAAACTCCGTAAATAACTTGGAACTTACCCAAATAACAGCTGGGAAGTAGATGTTCCGGTAGTTATTGTGATCCTTCAAGATAAGGCTAATTCGCGACAAAAAATTGATTTCACTATTTCGTCAATGGACACACACACTTACTCGAACTGTCAAAAATGTCGCGATGATTCGTTCTGAAAACAGAAGGTTCATTATCGTTACAATTTTACAATAATTCCCCAATTTATGGGGTGAATATTGAAAAAATTAAAACAATTTGATGCGGGGTGGCGGCATGCCTTTGGCACGCATGTAAACTTTAAATTTGGCTTTCATATAAATCGATCATTAGATCCCCTTGAAGATGCCCTTCACAGGGCATTCTCGGCTACCACCGCTCATAATACCCGATCACGACCAGCTATTTGATATTTTTACATAAAATGCAAGTAACTTGAAAAGTCATTTTAAGTATATACAATTATAACTTTATCCAAATATAAGTAAAACAAATATAAAAGAAGCTAAGATAATATGAAAATATGCAATAAACAGGAATCTTAATTATTGCACCATCATCATAAAACCTACGATATCACGATATCTATGTATGTACTACTAGATTGAAATCTTTACATAAAAACCTATGGTTGAATTTTAAAACCTGAGCGAGAGCAAACCGGTGGACGGGAAGACAGAGAACATTAAAATCATTTCATATTTTATACTATGACAACTTCAATGAGGTATAAATTTCAATGCTCTGAAGCCAACCTCGGAGCATCACAGCGTATTTCTCTGTGCAGTATTGAAAAATATGCTAGACTCTAGCGTTCCTATAGCGGTTAGAGGATACCACATCATATCACGGCGGGAGGCGCCGGTATGGAACGGAATCCGCCAGAATCCACCGATATGCGCTGAAATCTACCAGTGTTCGACCGAGTCTGCCTGATTGCGCTGGGGATTTTTAAGATGACGACAATCAGATCTGCCATAAGTATTCCGGCAAACGAAGGTTTGACACTCACGCAATTCGATGTCTCAACCGCGTTTCTGAATGGTTATCTACAAGAAGAGACTTTCATGAAATAACCTGAAGGTTTTAACGACGGGACAAATCGTGTAAGTTGAAGCGCAGCCTATATGGGTTAAAGCAATCACCAAGATGTTGGAATAAATGCGTTGTAGATTATTTGAAATCAAGTGGATTTCAAACAAAGTCAAACAGATCCTTGCATGTTTATCAGAAAAAGAGCACAGAATAAAATCATCTCAGTATTATATGTTGACGATGGTCTGGTAGCTGCAACACATCAAACGGATGCAGATAAGTTTATATAAGCGAAGGCTTAAGATAACTACAAAGCCTGCAGACTACTATTTGGGGTTGCAACTGCGGTATAAAGATGATGGCTTTATAAGCATTATGCAGAAGCACTATAACGAGAAAGTTTCAGCTCGTTTCGGTATGAACAACTGTAAATCAGTTACTACACCAATGATCAGAGATTCTGAACAAGGGCAGTCAGTTAAAGAGATTGTAGACGAGAAGTCATATCCTTATAGACAGGCGACAGGCTGTTGGTGCGCTTGCTTATCTGATGATTGGAACGCGACCAAATATTGCCTACGCCGTTAGTGTTGTATCGAAAACTTTGGAAAGCCCTCCAAGAGGATGTATTAAAGGTAAAGCGTATAATGCGTTATCTACAAGGTACATCAAGTTATGGTATAACATACAAAAAGAATTTTGAGATGGGAATACTGGACTGCTACAGCGATTCTAATCAATACTCAATACTCAATATATTTACTGCATTAATATGGTACATATATGAGTAATGCTACACATATGAGCCCTTTATTAGGGATAACAATAAAAGCAGAGGTAGGCCGAGATTTCAATTATTAATTACAATTGTTATTTATCAAATAATAATATTTAAAAATATGTCATGTACTAAGATAGAAATACGTCATATTATAAGCAGATTTTGTGACTTGAAAGTTTGAATTAAATTAGATTACAATAGCATAATTTTACAGTATATAATTAACATTTATTTATTGTGGTGGGTGAAATTGCATAATCTTTGTTTTATTTAAATTTATATCCAAGTTATGGTTAGACATCTAGTTTATGACCTCAGTGAAAAGTTGGTGAATTTTTGCGTTTATTTTAATACATGACAGCATTTGGCTGTTTTGACTCCACTCCACATGATGTTAAGTGGAAAGTGGTATCCAAACGCGAAGGAACCTAGTGCAACGATGAAACCCTCACTGCACTAGCCACCTCCACCCTGCCTGCCTACAATATGCCTCTTCACGCCTCGTTTGAAGGACACCATATCATAAGAGGGAGGGAAGACATGTGCCGGAAGGGAGTTCCATTTGTCAACCGTGCGGCAGAGAAAGGAGCCACCCAACCTTTTAGTACGCGATGGAATGCGGCAGGTAGTGAAACGGTGACTACGAAGGCCAGCACGCGTGCTTCTGAGCAGGAACGGGGCAGAGGGGATGAGGTTGAACAGCTCTTCAGAGCACTCACCATGGTACATGCGGTAAAAGGCGCTAAGCGATGCAACATCTCTATGCAGTTGCAGGTTCAAGGCGTGATGAGACCTCTTCGTCGCCTATAATTCGAGTAGCACGACGCTGTAATTTATCCAAGGCATCGAGTAGGTACTTGGCGGAGCCGTCCCACAAGTGCGAACAATACTCAACGCAAGACCGGACCTGTGTTTTGTACAGCAGGCATAACTGGTCCGGCGTGAAAAAACGTCGCACCTTTTTCAGGACTCCGAGTTTCCGTGAGGCTGTTTTGATCACAGATTCGATGTAGCTCCTTGAATTCAAATCACAGCAGATTTCCATACCGAGCAAGGTAAAACTGCTCTGAGGTGAAAGTGCTGTGCTCATCAGAGAAGGCATGGGAAGGAACGGCGACAATTTTGTTGTTAACGCGCAAACCTGTGTTTTCTTGGCGTTGAACTCAACAAGATTTCTAGATCCCCATGCAGAGATGAGGTCCAATATCCTATTGAGCTCAACGACAAGATCAGATCGCTCTCTATCAGTATCGGCGCGCCCAGCTGCGGGGAATCCGTGATATCCCCCATGAACAGTGCTATCATCTGCATAACAATGAATATTTCCAAGTGGAAGCATATCATTGATATTCACGTTGTCGCCAATACCACATGATGTCAAAAGTGAAACATCATCGGCAAACATGACAAAGTGTTCAGAAAGAGATTTACGTAAGTCATTGATGTAGATTAGAAAAAGTTAACATTAAATCACGCTGCCCTGCGGTATTGAACTTGTCATATAATGATGGTCAGATCTAACGTTACATATTGTACATGTATTATAGTAAAAAAACTCTATGTCAACATACTGAAATCGTTTTTGTAAATAAGATTGCAACCACTTGTATGCTTCTCCCCTAATATTTATACCATACAGTTTGCTTAGTAGAATATTATATTGTACTTCACTTATCTTGTAATCACGGAGGAGATCTCAAAGATGGTCGTTCAACAAATGGCGTACTGTGTCTATATGCTGGCATACCAATAGCTTGGGCGAGTCGAAAGCAGACATTAGAGGCTATATCAACGACTGAGGCTGAAATTGTCGCAGCTAGCGAAACAGCATGCGAAATCGTGTAGCTGAAAAAGCTATTTAATGAGATTTCTGTTCTAAAGCAAACTCCAATTTTGAAATTGATAATGATGCCACAGTAAAACTAGCTCAAATTTGGAACTGCATAGAAGAACAAAGCACATAGCAATAAGACATTTCTATGTCAGAGAACTGGTTGCAGATGGAAATGATGAATAGTCTAAGGTTGTTATGGATACATGAAAAACTAGGATGTCAAAGTGTACAATAAAAACACGTCAGTTGCTTAAAACATACGAATTTTTTATTTGTTACAAATTTTTCCTGCTACAGTCGCTAGTAGAAAAAATTCAAACCCAAGTGACCGGTGGCGTGTCAGTAGACTCTGCAGTAGGTACCTACCCTGGGGCATACACGTACTATCGTTAGAAGTATCCTTCATCAGTGTGCACTGATGGGCAAAAGATCTTCGATACTCTCCCCGCAGTCCGGCGGTTTGCGCTGGCTCTAATAGTGTAGTTGTGATACGTAACTAGTCGGTTTAGGCAATATGAGACGAAATATTATGCTCCTTACCAACTAATGCCTAATCTTACTCCAAATCTTAAAAAGATTGTATACATATAATATTCGTGCCCGACTGTTATTTTTTATTTTTTTTTATTTATTTATTTTAGGCCACATGACTCATATAATAAATACCATAAAAACTAACATAAGTACATACATTATAATTAAACACTATTTCTAACTAATCTACACGAATTGCACTTGTCGGCGATGTGTGGCGCAATCTGGTGTCGGGTAACCGGCTGCGGAACCGCCGATATAAGACACCCTTCGGCCAAAATACTACCTTCATGAAGGTCGATAGATGTTCGGTCGGTACTCTAACCACAAACACATTGAAATTTACATTGTGGCGGGACTCCAACCTGTCGACCCTCAGGATGTAAATACATCCTGAGGGTCTTTATGTCTGATATACTCCACTATCTCCTCAGACTTCGTGGAGTAATGCAGCCGCGACAGGTACAGCAGCCTCGTCAGTGTGGACGACCGCAGCTGGAAGTTCGGTCCTGTCGGTGCTGTGCCTTATTGTGGTTACGACTGATGGGCTTCCTCTTCTTCTTCTTCTTCACTTTTGTGAAGCCGTCCTCGTCGCACCGGTCCATCTGCCTCTGTGGTTTTACAACTTCGGATACTGGCACACGGAGATTACTTTTTCCCTTAGTAGATTGCCGCCGATCATGTTTCAAAGTGGCGGGTCGGCTACTTGAGGCGGCTACAGCGGCTTATGCACGTGTAGTTGTTGACGTGGTAACCTACTGGTAACCTACACACCGAAGCAGCCTTGCTTAATAACGTAACTTGGGCACGCAGCTCACTTTCGGTATTTTCCGAAGCCTCTAATTTACATTGTAATTCCGCTTGGCTCGACTTCAAGGACATAATGTCCTTCAGCGGCCTAGTGACATCAACGTGGTAAAACGTGACTGGGGGCAGCTTGTGCAACTCCTTCGCCACGAATGTGGGCACGTCGTCCGGGTCAGTCTCCTTCAGGAGTGTGATGATATCCTGGAGACTCTTCACGCCTCCATCCCTCCGGCGAGATGGTATCTGTTCGGCTTTTCCGAGGATCTGGATCAACAGCATCTTGCCACTGCAAATCTAATCCTCATTGAAATTCGATTTGCAGATCTGCACAATGCTGACTTCGTCTATCGTGTCGATGGCGTGTTGAATAAACGCCAGGAGCTCATTGGCAATGAGTTGCTGGGAACCCATTGTCAATTACGCGCAGCGGCCAGTGCCGCGTGAGACGCGAGTTATAATTAATAATTAACTCGCTGCGTAGTAGAGCATCCGTTTCCGAACGCGCATTGCACTGCACTGTTATACAATTGTATTGCACGCAATTATTTTTTATAATCCTAAGTAGCATGCACTCTACAAAGTTACAAAGCACTGACAGATGGAGTTGGAGATATCATATAATTTAAGAAGTGAAAGAATCTTAAATTTAAAGATTTGTAGTTTGTGAATTGCATACCCTCTAAATGCTTTCGATGCCCTGCATATAACAACGCGTCAGAGTGCTTCTGAGGCTGCGTCGTCATTTCGTCGCATTTACAATCTTTTTCTTAAATATGGTTTTCTTGGTTACAATTAGGAAACAACTTGACCACAGAACACTATACTCAACATGACTACGAGCTGTATTTATTTAAAAAAATATCCATTGATTATGACACCGCAAATTAATAACGACGGTCAAATTAACGGTGTAAATTGCGGTGTAATATTCATAACAATATACTATTGTAGTGAATATTAATTTAATGACACAAAAAACAGTTACAAGTCAAGGATCAATATCCGAAATTAATTACTACTAATTAATATTATTAATTATTTATTACTGTTATCCATATAATTTAAAAATCCTAGTTTTACTTTCTAGTATTTAAGTTTTTATTGTCTTTTTTACCTCACCTGTATATTATCAAAATAAAAATAATTTATATATTATTACTTAAGTAAATGATTCTAAACAAATTCTGTGACATGCATTGACCATTATTAACCTCATGATGAAAGACTGAATGCTAAGTAAGGTATTTCTATTTAACATATGGCAATACTCAGTACGACAGTAACAATTTCGTTCAGCAACTAGAGGAATGCGTTTTATTGTATTGTAATCGCTAAGTCAATACAAGACTAACATTAACATTACGCTTTATGTAACAACCAAACGTAACGTCAAAACAAAGAAAAGTATTGTACTGATATTAAGTTCTATTGCTTTGATTTATTGGATTTTCAGAAATCGTGCTCCATCATTTGCTGGAAAACATGTCTATTGGAAAAATAGACGTTATTTGGTCGCCGATTCAGCACGAGAAGTTCATAACATGGGGTTCCGACATAACCTTGTATGAGGTAGCAAGACTCAAAGAAATCGAGAAGAAAACAAACTGTACGTACGACAACATAATAATTATTGTTACGATTCAGTTATTTTATCTAATTCCATTTAGTACCAAGTATAGTAATCGCCTAGCAGTCTCAAAATGGCTAAATATTATCATAAAAGTGTGTTGTTTACAAAACACCGAATAACATTTCAAAGCAGCAACCGCCTAAAACGCAATTTCTTGGTATCTTTTGTAATACCCATCCATATGATTGACTTCGTTCAGAAACTACCAGAAAATCTATATCCAACACTCAATATTTACATCTAATAAACAAACTAGTCTTTCTATTGTTGAGATGAATGAGAATTATTTTGCCACCCACAACGCTAGGTACAGGTCAAGTGCTGTCAGAAATCAATTGTTCATTTTCTTACATTTCTAAAAGTACCTAAAACAATATTTGTTACTTAATTACAGTCATCCAAATGTCACCGGTTCGCGGCGCGACGGTGCTTTCGTCGCAGAGCGCCGGCGGCGTCCGCTGCGTGGACATCAGCGCCATTCCAGAACAGCCTGATCCATTGCTCGCACTTGGTTATGCTAATGGGAAAGTCGTGCTCTCCAACCTTAAACAAACTTATGACCCCCTTGGGTTAGCTGGAAGAGAATTTGGTACAAAATCAAATATAATAACACATTATAACATCATTACTGTTACCTACATTAAACTAAAAAAACTTAACAATAAAAAAATTAAAAATATGTATGGCAATAGTGAGCAAATCATCGTTCATATTTAGTCATTGTTATTAATAATTACTTCTTGACCAACAGTACTTCGCTACCCTCGATTATGCAATTCAGTGGCATGGAATCATGTAGAGACAAATCTGTTGGCTGCCGGGCTAGAGAAGCACCGCAGTGACCACAGTGTGTTGATCTGGGACGTTAACAGGGCACCTGCCCCTGTTGAAGAACAAGCAGGTGAGTTTCTAAGTTCTGAACCTTTCAATGTTTTGTTGGTTATTAGTTCCTTTTAAAGGATCAACTACACTGACATTGCCTAGGGATCATCAAAATAAAACATATCTTCTTAATAATTTGCAGGTATTCATTCAAATCAATCAAAAAATCAACAATGTGATAAATAGAAAAAATTAGATTCATAATTCATTTATTTGTGAAGAAACAGGTTATTTGGAAGTTGACATGTACATACAAAATAAGTAGAGTTTCACTGTGTCCTGCCAAACATTAGGCATACAAACCTATTGAAAGTGTTATTAATTATACATTTTTTTGCATGCATTTTAACAGACTAAACCAGATACAACGTGTTATTTTTTCTAATATGACATGAACATATGGATTTAATAAGTCGCAATTTATTAAAAAGCAATTTAGGTGCAATGATAGTTATATGAGTCAATTTAAATTAAAATATTTTGTATATTTATAATTTAATTAATTATATTTTAATATAATTAATTAAATGTCAACATAATAAAACTAGTAATGTCAAAAAAGAAATATAAATATCAAAAATCTGACAATGAAGTTACGGATTTGTCATTTAAAAATTCGGACATTGTATAGTAAATTTTATTTATTAGCCAAGAGGTTGTTTTATTGTTTTTTAAATAATATAAGAATTTTTCAGACCTCAACATTTTGGGTAAATTATTGTACATTTTTGGCGCCATTACAAAGATACTTTTGTGCATGAAAGTAGTTTTACAAGCTTTCAAATGAACTTGGTGATAACATCTTGGCTTCAGAGTTTGCTTGAACAAGTGTGGGTGCATTCGGACATATATGGCAGTTTCGTATATGTAAAGTGAAGGTACAGTTAGTATTTGAAGATCCTTGAAATATGTTTTACAACTATCTGTTCTCTTCAAACGACACATTGCTCTCACACATCTTTTTTGTGCCTCGAAAACTGAATTCACATTGGTTGCATTTCCCCAGAATATTATACCTTAATATTTATATAAAATGTATATCTTAATATTGAAGCAACATACCCATGATATGCTTGAAGGATCAAGCTTTTATCTACAGCTTTGCTAAGCATGTATAATGTATATGCACAAGTGTTGAATTTACTGCAAACGTTTTCTAATTGTGCTTTCCAGCTTATTTTATCATCAATGAGTATACCTAGGAATTTTGTTATATCTGTTTGTCCTATGTGTGTCCCTTTATATTCTATGTTTATTTGACTAGCTGCTTTTCTCAACTTAAAATTCATGAGCTTGGTTTTTTTGAAGATTGATTTTTAAATTGTTTTCTTGAAGCCATTCTTTTAATGAATTTAAGCTGTTATTTATTTCATTTTCTTTAATAAATGTGGCCGTACAAACGTCCGCATAAGGCGTCATTGGATGAAGGGATGGGTTAGGCATATCGTTAATATATATTAAGAAGAGTGATGGCCACAAAATGCTGCCCTGTGGTACTCCATTTATTTTTATTTTAGAATCAGATTCATATTCCATTTCTATTCTTGTCATAATGTTGATTAATTATTAATTTTGGTCACTTGAGTTCTGCCTTTTAAATATGATTGTATCATGTTATGCATATTGCCTCTTATACCATATGAGTACAGTTGTCAAGTAAAATGTCATGGTCCACATAGTCAAAAGCTTTTGTCGTATCTAAATATATAGCAAGAGCTGGTAATCCACTATCCATCCTGTTATGTATTTTCTCTAAGAAATCGTATATATCTGAATTAAACGAGCTGTTTTTTCTAAAACCTCTTTGTTCTTTACAAAAAATTCATTGTTCTCAAAATAATTATACAAATTATCATAAATAGTTTTCTCGAATACTTTAGAAAAAACTGGCAATAGAGCTACAGGTCTATATATGCCATAAGATGTTTATTGCCTTTTTTATACATAGGTTTTACAACAGCTATTTTTATTTTTTCTGGAAATAGGGATCATTTTCAATGCACATATTATTTATATCACTGAGGATAGGAGAAATTATATCTGCTACATATTTTAGTACTTTTGTGCATACGTCATCGTATCCTGTACTGTTTGTTTTTCTATAAAGTAATTATTAAATTTTTGAAACTCACTCCAGTAAGGTTAGCACAACAGGGCGCAACTTGCGCGAGAGCGACTTGAAACGCGAGATCTCTTTGCGAGAATACCTGTATTTCGCGCTTTATGTCGCTCTCGCGCAAGTCGTGCCCTTTCGTGCTAACTCTACTGACATCCCTTGAAAAATGGTCATTGACACTGATGTCATTAATGAGTAGATTCATTGCTAGTGTTGTGCAAATATGGATTGAAAAAAATGAGATTTGATTTTAATATACCTAGTATTACTACAATGTGCAGCAAAAAATATGTGCGATTCTTTGTATACTAAGTTAGCACGTTTCATCTTGATATACATTTTCCGTCAAAACCTGTATCCAAAGTCTAATTAAAGTCGCGCGTGCGTCACTGGCCCTTAAATTCGGAGTAATTAAAATAATGAAATATTTCTCAATTCCACTACAGATTTGTATATTTTCGAGTGGGCATAACCCGTTTGACTCTGTTGTAAACCTCATTGAACACTCATTTATGTCATCACATATCACATACATAGGATCCACTGAAACTAACACCATTATTATTATTATATTGAACGACCTAAAAATAACAAATTTTTATAACAAAAGGAACATAATATAACTAATTAAAGTAAATAGCGTTGGAAGTCATGGCAGTGAAAAGGCGCTGGCTCAGCATAAATGCCGCAAATTCCCACGACTCTGGTATTCTGCCAGAACCGTGTTAAAAGAGCATACTTAATAATTTAATTTTGTTTCACTTGACTTCGTTGTATTTCAACTGCCTTATCATCTGCCTCTGTGGCCGAACGGTTGCCATGCCGCACAGTGGGCTGAAAATCGGCCTTTCGGACTTTTAATTTAAAGTGTCTTTTTTTGCTCGAAATAGATTCGGTTCTGTATTACTATGCTCAAATTTATCAAGCGTGTTAGTTTAACATAAAAACTGATTAGTTATATTTTTTTTTTCAAAAACATTGTATGGAGCTAATATGAAAAATCATTCTATCTCTGGAACCGCAAGGAAAACCGTAATATCCTTACAGACAGTTATAGTACTAATTATTTGCGAATTCTTGACGGAATTTAAAGAAAAAAAATATTTCGGTGACAAGTTTTAATGCGAAAGATAACAAATGCACTTTTTTAAAATGTACATACATACCGTCTTGTCTGTTTCCCATCGGGGTAGGCAGAGCTTTGAGTGACACAAGGTTACTAAAGTCACGTTGGGCAAATGTTAGGGTTAGGATTCTATAATTAATAAAACCGATTTTTGTGTAACTTAGTGCACCAAATAATAATAATAAATTATTTATTCATTACAACAACAACAGTAATCAAGTACCAAAAGGTGACGAATAAATAAAAATTATGGGTTGTATATAATTTGTCAAAAAAGCAAGTGGACAGGCCATCAATCAGTTCTCAAACTAGGGCAGCCCTGTACTTTGGGAGCTGATGACAATTCTCCGCCAGTAAACAGTCTTACTAATATTTTACAAACCAGTTAGGGAGACGTGTGTACAATAGCGTAAGTAATGACAGGTTGCCAGCCTGTCGCCACATATAAGCCACTATTAAACCCAATCCCTCAGTCGACTTTTACGACTCGCGCGGGATGATAAGCAGCTGATACATTCTATGCTTTTCGTCTGTAAACAAATTTCTAATGTAGTTTACTTAATATATTTAAAATAAAAAATGTATAATGCAAATGTCAAGCTGCGTGCAAACAAATTTGCTCAATCAAGGTACAAGACTCAGGGAATCAATAGAAGACTTCATCTCTCCAAAACCTTCGACGCCATCGTCAGTTAGCACGATGACAAAAAGACCACGAAAATTATTCGACGATCTGGGAAACAAACAGAAGAAGAGAAAAATGTGACGAACACAAAAATGAAGAAAGATCCAAATGAATTGGCTTACTCAGCTGCAGCACTTTTGAAAAATATTGCGTCCGTTATCGAAATATGCTGAAGAATCCAGAATCAGCTACAAAAATAAATGAAATGCTTAAGAAACCAGATCATACATTTACACCGGAAAAGGCTCTAGGATTGCTTCTTTCATTAAAGCTAACTAAGTGGCAATTCATCACGTTAAGGGAGACAGCCATTCGAGAAGGTGCTAAGGATATTAATCCATTTTACAAAGTGCAACAAGCCAAGCTGCAGTGCTATCCTCCGAAGCAATCGTTGACTGTGTCCGATTCATCTGCTAAAATTAGTCATCAAGAGTTACTGGATATTACAGTGAAAAGGATCCTTGAAAGTCTTCCTAGCAATGTACAAGATAAGCATTTGACGCTAATATCAAAGTGGGGATTCAATGAAGCAGTAGTCATCAATCCCAAAAGGCAAATGTATGACCAAAATTAAGGCTCTTATCCCTACAAAGTGTAACAATAATATGGTAAGTCATCATCTGATGATGATGACGATGATTGATGCTAAAGTCTGTACATATCTATCTGAAGCTAGATCAAATGCATCTTGCTACTTGTGCTTGGCTAAACCTACTACTACTACTATTAGACACTGTTATATCTAAGACCGTGTCAACTGGCGTATATGAATTTGGATTATCTTCACTGCATGCCTGCATGCATTAATTCCATGGAATGCCTTTTACAAATCGCATACCGACGCGATTGGAAGCAACAAGACAAGGAAATGTTGGGGGCAAGGAAGAAAAGAATCCAAGATATGTTTGAAGATAAGCTCAATCTTTTAAGTGACATAGTAAAACAAGGTGCAGTAACAACTAATGACGGGAATACAGCAAAAAGATTCTTCGAGTATCCCGATAGAACCGCAGCAATTACTGGATTTGATGAGGATTTGGTGCGTAGATTTGCTGTAATTCTAGAAGCTATAACATCTGGGGAGGTAATTGATGTTACTAAATTTAAAGACTATGTCTACAAAACAGCAGAGAAGTACGTGGAGTTATACGATTGGTATCACATGTCGACCGTCCATAAATTGCTCTTACATGGAGCAGATATCATCGCCAGCAATGCAATAATACCAATTGGAAGCCTCTCGCAAGAAGCCTCAGAAGTCCACAACAAAGAGTTTAGAAGGTTTAGCGAATACCCATTCGAGAAAAAGGAGCAGGCAAGCTTCGAACGAGGATATTCTCAATATGCTTGTACTTTCTTCCGACCCTCTCATCAGTGCAAGTAAACCAAAATTAGTGACCAAGAAAAGGCACAATTTCTTCCCCGAAACTCTAGAATTAATGGAAAATCAATCGGAATTTTTGGATGTATCCAATCTGGATCCGGATTCTGAACTGAAATCTGAAGAGAGCGATGCAGAAAATTAATTTGCATAATGTTATTTATTGTATACGTATTAAACATGAGATATTAAAAGGATACTTTGTTGTATTTATTCATAATCATCAAGTTTATTTATTGTAATTTCTTGTTGAAAAAAAAATCATTTAGTTTGGAGCGAATACTTTGGATATTAATATGAAAATTCTTAAAATTTCCTTTAATTTTATCCTCGAAAAAAAAAATGGTTTGATTTCCTTTCACTGTATTTTGAATCGCAGTGTCTTGCACTGCCTCCAATTGTTAGTACGCGATTGAAATAATCAGTTATATTTGTTTTCGAATAATCGTATGATTTATTCTATTGAGAACTTTTACAGATTTTAGATGTGCAATTTAAAGATGATGTTATTGCGTATGTGTTGAGCATTCTATTGTTACGAGTGTTGTAATTTAAATATGTTCAGTTATAATCGGTAGTGTTAATATGTTTATTCAACGCATGCGCTTTGCCCACAGTACTCCTGCATCTCGTCAAATCAACATAACAACAGTTGTCAAAACAAGTTAACAATGTTTTTATAGTAGTACTATTTAACATTTTTTCATTAATATATGAATTTTTGTCTACACTGGTAACTATCACGTGTGTATTGGAAAGTTTACTGAGTGCTATTGTCAAGTCTGTAATCAGTTTTCTCGGGTTGCAGTCATTTGAACGAAGTGATATCACCACCTAGTCGTCTTTATTCGTATTTTTTTCAATATTAGCACTAATTGTTAAGACATGCTTTGTAACGGCGTTTGGCTTGATGCTTCCAAAAATGGTATACTTATGTACATTTCTGGGTTCTTTTGACCTGATTTTCATTAGATTGACAGACCATCCCGATGCTTGTTGATCTCCAAAGCTGTAAATATTGTTAGATTTTTCAATATTATTATTATAGACATTAGACATAAGTCAGCTAATTATAAGATTAGTTATGTATAAACCTTTTAAAGACGCCATAAATATTACAATTATTTAAATCACATTTACGCAGGCTCCAGCAGCTCCCAGCCCGCAGAATCAGTCCGCCCACAAGCGGAGATGGGCCTCTCCGAAACCGTCCACAGTGTGTCTTGGTCCAGCTTCGCACCTCGTACACTATTGGCTTCTACCAATTTGAAGTTCATTAAGATTTTTGATCTTCGAGGTGAGCGTTTGTTTTAGACTGATGATTCTTAAAGTGATTACCAAATACCGACCTCCAGGGGTCCTCTGTAACCTACCAGGTGTCTGTGCCAGTGAAAAAAAACAGGGGTGCATGAGAACTTAATTTGGTAGTGAAGCTTAGATAATACGTATGTACATCATACTTTTTTATCAATATATAAGGTATAAATTACCAATAAAGGATTTCACATTTCAAACATTTCGTATCAAACAAGATTTGTTTAGATAAATGGATAAAATGTGGTTTTTTTTTTTAAAGTGTCTAGTTATCGAAGTGAATATAGCAATGCGTCAGCTATCATAAACACATCTGAGTTAAATTTCATATTAGAAAGACAGTGGGTCTACGCAAAACCGATAAAATAAACACGTGGTCTATGAGGAAAGAGGCTTTGGAAACTCTGTTTTACACCAATGAATGTATGAAAGAATAAACGATGATGAAGGTTAGGGTTACTGCCTGTATTTAAATGATAAATAAATAAATATATAATTTATTCAAATTAGGAGTCTTGAAATTAAAAATTGTGTTATGTAGGTTTTTGTATCGAGCACAGCAAGCAAAGCAAACGTAGGTTTTCTGGCAATGCACTCAAATTCCTCAGCTTTCGATCGGAATTACGAACAAAAAAACACATTTCTACCGATCGTGACGTGAGCCCAAATTTTGAATTTCGACCTGTGACGGGAGATAATTGCAGATCAATATTTGTGGTCAAAGGTCACAATTTTAAGTCTGTAGGAAAAATATTGAATTATGAAATTTTGCGCACGCAAATGTGCAACACTGTGGAAAAGCAAAATAAGAAAGACTGCTGCGCTTCGGTAAGGGATCGACATAATACGAAATAGACACGCTTGACCACAATCTCACCTGATGTTAAGCGGCGATGTGACCGACTATGGTAAGCGTTTGACTAAAAATACTGGCATACATGACACTCTGGCTTTGACTGACCCTAAATTGTACTCTTTGGCAAATACAGATGGTGACTGTATGTTTTATTCCTTTTCCGTACGTATTAGAAATGAGAAAGCAAATCACTTCGTGTAAAGTACTTCCTGCCTGACCTCGAAAAGGATGCTTAGCTTTTTTGGCAGCAGTTTTTGCTAAGCAAGATTTCTTGGTTGCGACACCTACTAGCATAACCACGGAACGTATGATGCGTCGTAATAGTGTGTCTATTGAGGCAAAGCGTTTTGTGTCGGGGCGGAGTAGACTGGGCGGACCACGGAACGTATGATGCGTCGTAATAGTGTGTCTATTGAGGCAACGCATTTTGTGTCGGGGCGGAGTAGACTGGGCGAACAAGGCGGTGCAGCAGGTGACGACGCGGCACTGCTACGGCGTGTGCGGCGATCCCCACGGCGCGTGGCAGCTGGCGTCGCGCGGCGACAACGTGCTGGCCGTGTGGGACGCGCGCCGCTTCGACCGGCCCACGCTCACGCTGCCGCAGGCGCGCGCCATCACCAAGATACAGGTCTGCCCGGGAATGTTCCCACATTGCGAGACTCACGAATGGTCGATTTACACTTAGCTTAATTATGTCTCCGCCAGTGGTGTCCGACGCGTAGGAACCTAATACTGTCCCTGCAACGAGAGTCGACGACGCTGCGACTGCACGACTTGCAACAGGCGAGCAGCGACGGCAGAATCGCCCAGCCAGCCGAGAACGTAAGACCTCGACTCGCACCGCCCGCTCCAAGACGAAGTGCGCCTGCGCAACGGCTCTCGTGTGCAGGCGCAGGCGGGCGCGGAAGCGGAGGAGGAGCAGCGCGGGCCGGGTGCGCTGGAGCGCGACGTCACGCCCTTCTCCGTGGCGCCCGTCGCCACCCTCGCCTCCTTCCACTGGCACCCGTCGCACGAGGCGCGGCTGCTGGCCGTCGCTCAGACAGGTGAGTGGCCTTCGTCCGCTTCGGATGCTCGGTTCGTTCGCGTTGTTGGCGTGCCGTCGCCACGCAGGAAACTACCTGCGCCTGATGTAGACCGTTTTATCTCCTATGTGGGCCGTGCAACCGTTAGCGAGTACCCTAGCGCCGAGGACGCTACCTTGACCTACTCGTGCCGTACAACTGTTCAAAGGTTCAGAGGTCAGACGAAATGTAGCCAATTCATCACATTCCCTAGTACTAAGAGCCATTGTTACATTTACATTAGGCATGCTTTGACAAGTTCTATTATTCGTAACTAAACGAAGTGTCCGTAGGCTAGTGGCAACTGCTTACTCCTTGCCATTCGTCGTCAGCTTCAGGGTGCGGCGAAAGCGAAAGTGGTAAGAGTGCTGACTGCCAACGCATTACATTTGGGATTCTTCTTAAAATGATCCAGTTTGGCTTCCTCAAATTCAATCTCATGGGTTCACCGACACGTA